GAGGGAGGGAGGAAGACATCTTAGGAACCCATAGTCTTTGCAAAAAATCCAGTAGATTAAAATGGTCCCCAGAAGCAGCAAGGGAGACAAGTAGGAAGTAAAGGAATGATTAGGTCAAGTTCAAATGTTGCCAGTTGTAGATCTTAATACTGTGAAGGAAGAGAAGGCTTCTTTGCTGATTAGAGACAATTCTTCAGACAGTTTGAACTACTTGGGGACGTGTTCGTTTGTTCAACATTTTCAGAGGCCCCAGAGACTTCGCCTTAGAAGACTCAGGTTGGCCACTCCCCAAGTGGAGTGCTGCTTTGTTTTTCACGCTTTCTTCCTCACTACGAGTAAGTAATGAGTGACGCAGTGCCCCAGGCCCCAGTGACAGCACATTGAGAAGGCAGGGCCCGCTCAGGTTCCCTCTGAGGAACAGCAGTCATGAAACTCAACAACACTGAACCCACAGCGTGCATTCACCTGATCCTTTGTGATGGAATTCTCTACCCTGGAACCTGACATTTAACTGAAGGTCGTGGGACCTTGGGGCTCTTAGTGGTTACAGACCTACACTGAGGATCTCAGAAACCCTGGACGGGAATCTCTTGCTAGGGAAAGCCCCTGGTTTTATGACTTTTCTGATATTTTCCTATTTTAATGAAAATTAAAAGCTACTTTATTTTTAGAAAAAAAATTACATACAAGATTGGGTCACTTCAGTGTTGTTTACTGGCTGATTGGAAAGCATGTCCACAGTTGTCTCTGTGTACCCCATGCCAAGATGTGCAACCTGGAGACTGGTATGACCCTGGGCAAGGCTGGGTCACTGCTGACAGCGGCAAAGCCAGAGAACTCCCCCTCCCCCCAAGCTCAATTTCACCCTTGCAAGACACCGGAGCTCGATTTCTTTTGCGTGGAATTTCCATTAAGTTTGTTAGAAACTCATAAACATCAGTTCTTAGTGACAGAAATAGCATCTTCCACTTAAATTGGTCAGAATTTCTTATTTTATTTTACTGCTGGCGTGCAGTAGCACACTCACAGCCACCCCAGCGTTGACCCACTGGGCTTAAGCGATCCTTCTGCCTCAGCCTTCCAGGTAGCCAGAACTACAGGCACACACTACCATGCCCGACTAATTTTTTGAGTTATTGTAGAGATGAGGTCTTGCCAAGTTGCCCTGGCTGGTCTTGAACCCATGGTCTCAGGCAATCCTCTCACCTCGGTCCCCAAAGTGCTGGGATTACAGGCTCGAGCCACCATGCCTGGCCAGAATTTCTCACTTTAAAAGCAATAGGAAATAAAACTGGACAATTACCTTGACTTAGTCAAAAGCAAGTACTTCATTTCTAGTGGCCTGGACCTTCCTGGGCAAGCATCGCGGTGCCCAGCCATCAAGGCACCTTTAGGACACTGTGTGCTTAGGACACTGCACCCTTAGGTGCTGATTGTCACGTCCCAGCTGCCCACACCTGGGCCAGGAGCCTCACACTACCCCTCTGAAGTAGATGCCTGTCTCTGGAGTCCAGGGTGAGGAGAGGCCCGCGTACTTAGGTCCTACACAAGTGGGAAATCTAACCCTCTTCAGAGAGACAACAAGTGAATGGTTGGACAGCAGGGGTCGGGTTCCTGTCCTGACAGCTTCAGATCTCCATTTACTGGTGGGAACTTGAATCAAGCCATTGGCCACAGAGCCAAAGGAAAAGAAAAACGCAAGTGCACTTTTCCTCCACTCCCTCACAGGACTCCTGCCCATCCAACAAGTCTTCCTGGGCCCAGCACTTGTTCTTGGGTATCCCCTCTCTACTGCTTGACAAGGCCTGTGGGTTAGAGTTGCACCTGATTTGTCAGCTAGAAGATCGAGACTTAACGCCTTGGGGAGGTCTGTATGAGCAGCAAAATTATCACCTCCAGTTACATGCACGCACACACACATGCACACATGCAGACACGCACACACACGCACACACAGACACACACAATATTCCCATGAAACTTCACAATCTCTAAAATCCTTTACTAAGAAAATTCAGGGTTTAGTCCTACATTTTTCACCTACACAAGTTGAAGTCTGACCTTATTTTTTGAGAGAAAAATCTATGGATTAGTGAAAAAGACCTGGGACTGAAAGACAAAAGCCTATGTGTGTGGATAACGTTGGCAGGTCCCTTCACCTACCTGAGCCTCGGTTTCCTTAACTATCAACTCTTACTAGGCTGATGTGAGAATTGACCAAAATGATGGAGGGAACATACTTTGGAGACCAGAGATTGTCAAAAGAAAAAGATTTGTCACTTTCATAGTATGGGGAAATGTATATTACAGCAGCAGGCTTTAATTAGAACACACTTGGACATCGACTCAAAATGAACACTTACAATGGCTAAATACACTCGCCTTGTCCTCATGAACTTGCCTTCTGTCCCTAGTTCTCTGCGTTAAGACAACCATCCATACTTATGGACCATCTCTCCACTCACTCAGCACTCTCCTCGTAGACATGGGAAATGTAGATGTTTAAGACACAGCTCCTTCCCAGGATAGGAGTAACGTGAATGATAAGAATACCACATGGCAACCAACCACACGTGAGACAAGTACCAAACTGACTTGCAGAAACTACAGACATTGCACAAGTCCGGAGATTTCCTGAGCGATAACCAGGAAGATTCATGGAGTAAGCCAAGTTTGAACCATGACCGGGCAAAGGAAAGAAGAGGGGACAGTGTAAACATGGGAGAGGCCGAGGGCATGTCTTAGAGGGCGTGATCTGTGTCCTCCTTGGCCCAGAAGTTGAGAACTGGGGGCTCCTTGCTACAGCTCACCTGTGGAAACCCCATCCACGGAGCCGATTTCGGGGGCAAGACGCAGTCCAGCCTCACAGCCCAACATGGCGTGTGGTGCTTACCTGTGCGTAGAAATTCTTTCTCAGTGTTGTATCTGAACGCTTCTAGTGGCACGTCAGACTTTGATGAATGTGTTATTCTTAAAAAGGGGCAAACTTGTATCCTAACTACAGTGAGGGTGGAGCCATTGGGTCTGGGAGTGCACTCGGCCTAACCTCCTACACTCTGCAGTGAAGGGAGCGAGCCCAGAGGTGGTGGGGCTTGTCTGGACTCAGCCGGGGGCAGGGGGACAAAGCGAAGGCCACGGTCTCACTGTGGCTTCTGATCCCTCATGAGCCCATCGGCACGTCACGTGGCCCACACCCAATCACACACCTCACCCCACCGTCCAGTCAGGATAGCCATGCATCTCCAGGCTGGCTGGGAAGTCTCCAAGGCAGCCCCTTCCATGCCCAGACTAAGTTGGTGTAAAGCACAGAACTTCTTCCCAACTGATTTGGGCCATGGCGTGGAGGGAGGGGAAGGAGGGAGCTTGAAACTCAGTCCCTGGAATCAGTCAATACTTTTTACATTTTATTCCTCCAAAGACACTGAAATAGCACACAGCTCTGTCCTTAGTTTCCACTGTGTTCGACGTTATCTTTCTAATTGTTGCAGCCTCCAGTTCACATAGTATTGACTCTCATTCAACCCCAGGGCCCGTCTGACCCACAGAACGTGGCCAATAAACTGGGAAGGCCAAATAAACACTGTTGACATTCAGAAAGGCAGGAAGTGATGCTAGCTTGCTTCCAGAAGAAACACCGGGGCAGAGTGTGCTGGCCAAGCAGAAATGATCAAAGCAGAGGGAAGCAGGATTTTATTTCATGGTCGTAGCAGGACTGGACAAGCAGAGCCGACTGAGGGGTCAGGCCCAAGGCTGTCCTCCCGAGTCAGGAAGGCAGAGGAGTGAGTGACATGTTCCCACCGCTCATTGCGACTTTAGAGCCAAGAGCCTGCTTTCTTATGTCTCCTACTGGAGGAAAATTCAGCGGCTGTGCTAGTTTGTAGACATGCAGTCATTCTGTATCTCCAGATCTTGGACCATCACCAGTGATGACATTAATTCAGCTAAAATAGAAACTGCTGTCACCTGATGTGATGGGCCCATTCCTGCTTGCTTCCCTACCGATGTGATTTTTTTCCTAACACCGTTGCCATCATCATAATGCTAGAATGCTGATCTGCGTAGCCTGGTTTCTTGGAAACTCGCAGACTGTCACTGCCATTCACAGTGAGATTTTGGTGTACCCACTTTCCAAAGTTACCCTCTTCTGTGCTTCTCAAAAGAATAGGAAAAAAAAACATGCGGCACAAATAAATAGGAAAGAAATATTTGCCACTGGACGATGGTGAGTGTATGAGTCAGATAATCAGAGGCATGCCTAACGGGGAAAACGCTGATTCTACAAAACAAGATTTGAAGGCCAGTAAATGTTTTCACGCAGAAGGCTCCCTGTGTCTTTGCATGTTCTGAGTTCAGTCATTGTCAGGATTTATCTGGGTTTCCACACACATGTCACCCCCTGTAGGCCATTGTGGGTGACTTTCTGTCATGGGGTACCCTCTGATTGTTTTGTGCTTTGACTCATTTGTGATTTGCCCCATGAAAACTTTGAAGTGCGTCATGGATCCCAGCTATGAAAATCCTCGAAATGTAATAGAACCAAATCTAATTAAGCATCAGTGTGATTTTAGAAGAC